GTGGAGATGGGAGGCGTGGTGAGGGGGTGAATGAGTGAGTGGGGTGAGTAGGTGGGTGGGTGGGTGTGTGGATGAGTGAGTGAGTGGGTGGGTGGGTGGGTTGTTGTCGGTGTGTGAGTGGTTGTAGTCACTTTGTGAGGTGCATGGAAGATGGAAGTTGGATGCGATAATGCGTGGGTGTGTGCGTGTATCGAATGTGGTTTTTGTCAGTTCTTGAAGAATTTGCGTTGGCTAGGATAGAATGGAAGTGTTGGGGAGGTGAAGGTGGTGGAGTGTGGGGAAGGTTTGTGGTTCGGTGAGGAGAGGTGTCGTTTTCGCACACGTAGATGTAGAGAATGTGATTGGTAGAGTGAAGTGTCAGGGAGTGGATAGTGGAGGAGGTTGTGCTGTTGGGTGTGTGAGAGGATGCAAGGCGAGACGGATTGCGGTGTGGGTTTGGATGGTGTATGGTATGTGGTAGACGCAGTGGGTGGTAAAGTTGAGGTAAGGAGAAGGTGATGAGCGGGTAGTTATAGGAGATGTTTGTTGTGTTGAAGAGAGAAGAAGTGAGATGCAATGAGAGAAGGTTGAAGGTGTGTGAGGGAAGACGTGGTGGCATGTTGTGCTCATTGTGTTGTTTTGCTATTTATTTGGATCGTGTGGAAATCTCGACTCCTAGTGGCACTTAACGTTGTAACCGCACTGTTTGTACAAGTCCATCCTTATTGTGCTAGTGATGTGGGACAAATGCCCTTCATCTGGTGCTATAAAAGCGGAATGTGGGTGATTCATCCCACCATCATTAGTCATTTGGCAAACAGCCCCTTCGCTAAGGAATGAAGCAGTCTGGTTTGTCACAATCTGTAGTTAGAACTTAATCACCCTTTTTGATTGGTGTCTTTGCGATGCGATCTCTGTGTCCATATTTCATTTGACATTCCATTATCGTTACTATTATTCGAAGTTGGAGATGGAGATAATCGTATAGTGGTTGGCCTTACGTATTTGTGGTTCCTTAAATGAAGGTGATAGTTGGTTTTGATGTGGGATGTCCTTTTGCCTGGTTGTTACAATTGTCTGTACGTTTGCAGTGGAGAACATTTGCCTGGTTGCTTCTAGCCATCATTCGATGTATTTGGTGTTTTCTTGTCATTTTAGGTCAGTTGTGGTTTCGTTGCTAGTCTTTACAGCGCAGACTGTGCATCACTGGAAGACAGTTTACGATTTGCTGCTGAAGGGTTTTTATTTTTGATTGATTAGGCAGCATTAGGTGTATCTTTTTTGTAGTACTTCACTTCGTCTGGCCTATCAGGATACGTCGAAGGACAAAACTGCGGCCTCCAAGATGGACCCACAGCGCTCCGAACAATATGAACGCCTCGGTATGAGTGCTGGCGTTGGCGGCGCCAGGACGAAGTAGGTTGGCAACAACAATGCGTAATGGAGATTATTGAGTAGCTACCTTACTAACTCAGATAAAGCCGGAGTTATTGAGTTAGTTGAGAACTTTTGTTTTGTGCAGGGTGATTGGTCACTCGGCTGTGAGTGATATGAAGACGATTGAAAGTGAGGACGCCAATGATTTGCGTGGACCCGGTGGTCGCAAGGGAAATCAGAGTGGAATGGGAACCTTTGAGGAAACTATTGACACATTCTGTGAGTCTCTTTGTTTTGTGCATCGTAGTTTTTACTTGTCATTATACTGTAGCTGAAAGTGTACTGGTGTTGACTAGCTAATACAATCTGTCCTTCTCTTTTAGCACGAGGCGGTAGCAACTGGTTGTACCTATCTTCCAGTCGTGACGGCGACGCTTCCGACGATTGGGACTTGGATCCCTTCAAGGCACGAGCTGCTGCTGGACTCTCCTCGTCGTCAAGCAGAACTGGTCTCCTGGATCTCCCAACCGAGTCTCGTACTTCTCGATCCGGTAACATTGGGGTGTCAAAATCTTCCAACTCCACCTTTTCCTCGGCCTCGACAGAGCCACCCCCAATGTCGGAGGAGATGCGGCTCAAATTACAGAATGCCAAATCTATCTCTTCCGCAGATTTTGCTTCTGAAGACCAGGTTGGAAGAACTTCACCAAATACACATTGACTGTCGCTTTCAATTTATCTACTTATTCTATCCTTCTCTCAGGGTTCCAACTTTGACAGTTCTCAGTTTGAAGGTCGAACCTCCTTATCCAGTGACGAATATTTTGGTCGTCCCCAGCCCAAGTACCGCCCAGACTACAGTGTGGAGCTGAACAGCATCAAGGAAGGTGTGCGGGAAGGCGTAACCAAGGTGGCTACGCGTCTCTCCGCCTTTGCCAATGATGTTATGAGTCAATTACAGGTGATACTACTATTTTTTGTGTAGTCTTCTCCTTCTTCCCTCCCTCAATTTTTGATATTGGTTGCCCCTCCTCTTCAGCATACTGTTTTTCACATCTCTATGTACTGATCAGTTGGAGGAATAGTAAATAGATGGGTGGCGTTTGGGCTTAACGATATCAATAACCGAAATTGGACTCTTTGTCCCTTCAGATGAGCTAGCCGACTTTAACTTCAGCTACTACTTATTATCCTATAAGTAGAATACCTGGAATTATTTGAATCTCATTTCTCCCTTTACACTTTAAGTGGATTGTTGCATGTTTAACAACCTTATTACAGTTTTTTCATTCTAGGAAAGGTACGGATAGCCTTAGCGAACTTCTCCGTCGCCTCTTTTCTTCATCAGCAATCGATTTTTTGTCTTACTCGCCTTTCCGCGTTTATTTGGATGCGCGATTTTTCCATTCCTTTCCTTATCCGTCTCTCCGTTTCATTCGATCAGGCAGATTGGACTCCGTGTAAAGCGAAACATAGACCACCCATTTGCCCTCCCTTTACCTTCACCTCCTCGCATCCCTACCTTGGCAACAGAGAAATTGTTCAGATGGTAGCGTTGTCTAGTTTATTTGAAACTCCTTTTTTCTTCTACTTAGAATTCATGGTGGGCGGGGTAGTGAGAATAGGCGTGCCGACGGACGAGGATGTGGCTGTAAAGTCGGCCTTTTCTTGAGAAATAAGGTCGCCGGCTAAGTCACTGCGACCAATTGCGATTAGGGCTGTTCTCAGCTTTTCACCCTAGATGGGAAGTGGGAAAGTGGTCTGACTTGGGCAATTTATGGTCCTGAAGTAGTGGCTTTTAGATTATGCAAGTTGGTGGTGACCAGCTGTCAAAAATAAGGTGGATAGGTTCTCTGAACTGCTGTCGAAGTCTGGAGGTCGGGAGTGGAAACTTGGTAGTTTCAACACAATACTACAAATTTGGATTACTACTCAAAAATGAGGTAGGTAGAGTTACCTTCTGTGGATTAGAGCAATCTTAAATTAGACTTTCATCCAAAGTAGTGGGGCAAGGCGTATCCCTGGAAGGAATCAAATTTTTCCTAGGGCTTAGATTTGGGAGAGCGCAACTCCTCCTAAGCTAGAGGTGGTCGATTAATTTAACCTCGTCGAAATACAACGATCTTATTTGTGGCACTATTAGTTTTCAGGGTCTTTGATGTTGCTCACAGATTTTAAGTAGTATTCGACAGGGTTCGAGTGAATGCATCATTCCCCACATTAACCTAATTCAAATGAAAAAACACGCTCACTCTATCCACTCTGAGTTCAAGGTTTTTAATCCAGCTTCGCAGCATCGTTAGAGCTCTGTTCTTTCGGGAGGAGTCAGCTCTTCCTCCAATCGCTTGAAGTTGGGTCCTTGAAAGATCTAGAGCCATACCCAACCGTCTCCAAGTCTCACCAGGGAGCTTCCGAGCCAACTCCTGAAGGAGCTCATTCGTCACAACATCTAAAAGGGTGTGGCAGTGTCGCAAATAACGAAATGATCCTCATTAAGTGTGAGCAAAGACTAAGCACACCTTTTGAGTCGAAACGATAGGAGAGGATATTCTTATCCGCGTCAACTTCGATAGCCTTTTTAGGCAATGTTACCAGAAGTTGGCAGAGTGGAACCGTTTGAAACTCGATAACAAATTTCTTTGGTCCCACAGGATTACCTCTACCTTTGCCTCGTTTGGCGGCGACTTTAGTTGCTTGCTTGTAGGAGATCTCAACAAATCCGCGATATTTCTCACAAGCCACTTGAGCGCTTGAATCGAATTCTTCCACCTCAACCTAATATGAAGAGGAAGAAGTAGGGAGTGGAAGAATGCTGTTCAAACCGTGTTATTCATCTGTTCACACCAGCGGTGTCTCAGCTCTGTTTTTCATCTACTACCATCCTACTGTGGACTTGATCAGCTCACATGGGACAAGCCTTGATGACGGCTTTTTTTTTTCAACAGCGATAAAATTATCCCTTTTAACCTGTCTAGTCAATCAAAAAACCCTTATACAGATGCTTCAAACCCTCACTGTGTACTCATTTCGCAGAGATGTGTTGAAAGTTATCTTCATCTTCCCCTTTTCCGTATCCAGTTGAATGGAGCTACGTCCTGTGCTTTCCCTCTTCGGACGAATATTCCCCTTTAACGCTACATCAAACTGTTGCCTCTCGTAGACGAACAGTGGACCGATTGGTTTGCCTCCCTCTGTGAATCCCTTGGTTGCCATCTGACTCAGGGTCTTTTCAAGATCCTGTGTGAGACAGATGGCAAAGCAGACTCGACTCGGTTGTTGTTTGTTTTGCCGTAGACAGGCAAAGACAATGCGCTGAGAGAGGCTACGCTCCAGCACCTGTGCCATTTGAATAAGGCTATCGTTGTCGACAATCGTTCGGGTCTGGATTGCCATGAATCTTGTGGGAAAGAAGGCGAAAAATGCCTGGAAAGTGTTAAGGAAGGTGTGTACTTCTAACATCGAACACTGCCTACTTGCGAGGTACAATACGATTGAAACTGAAGGTGCAAATGTCGACATTTTTGGTCTCCACAAACTCTACATTGTCCCAAATCTTCCAGTTGGAGTCTTCTATACTGGAGTAGACCAGATTGACTTCGGAATGGCCAGAATTTGCGCCTGCAAGCAACTTGGGTAGAAGGAGAGAACGTTGGAATGGATCCAGTTCACGAGGACTGGTTTCGTCTTCACTAACGTGTTCAGATCCCTCCTCCTCCTCCTCCTCCTCATCAACAACATTTTCTCCATCC